TTTTGAAGGAGATTTTTAGGGCCAGATACTTGAGACATGTTTACAGAAAAATTCTTAGCATTCCCCTTTTACATTTAGCTTAACACATATTTGCAAGGGAGTTTATGCTGAACTTACAGTAGTAATAGAATGAAAATTTGGCCTTTATTTTCCAAATTTTTTCTTAAATGAAATATATAAAAATTTCGGAGAAGCTTGCTTTAAAACTGCATTTTTTTAAAGATGAAAGGAATATTGGCATTATTTGTTGGCAAAAAGTGAAGTGACTTTCCAAGCATCAAAGCTGTTCAAAGTGTTTTGAAAATACAACTACACTATTCATCTGTTTCCCTTTAGAACCAGTGTATAATGCATACCAGTTATTGTACTGTGCCGTAGATGGGATGTTAAAATGTAATCTTAGTTGAAATAAATTGAAGTTCCTCATTAGATATTGAACAGCAACATGAGGGAAATTGGTTTCCTTTAATCTTCCACATAAGGAGGCAATCTCTTTATATGCAAGTAAAGGATTTTGCATATTTATTGCATTTTCTGATGATGAACTTATACATTTATAGGCTAAATGGCATTCTCTAAAGAGAAGATGCAGAGTAAATATCTATTTTCATAATATCCTGTAACGAGTAACCACTCCAGCATGCCAAACACTGTAATAGCACGATTCATATCTTCTTTCACCTTAATAGTATTATTCTCTTAGATTGACTTTGTGTTTCCAAAAATGCATAAAATGTTTACTATTCAAACAAAACAGCAAGAATACCTCTGTCTTAAATGCTTAATATAAAATTTCACCCTGTGCTTGAGAGGTGAAGGGGGAGGCGAAGGGACCGACTTGCCCTGGTTTGTCTGTGACTTTTCTGGTCATAGTGATGACAGTTTTAGCCCAAGGAAGGCTAAATAGATGATCGGAACCCTTTAGTCCTAGCAAACTGGTTGGTTACTAATTTGAGATTGCCAGATCAGTAATTGTTTAATTTTTTTCTCATCTGTTTAACTTTTCTCTATTTATGTATTTTTAATGAATCACTGGAGAATAAGCTGGAGAAATTATGCCACTCTACCTTTAAAAAAATCAGTGATTATTTCCTAAGTACAGTCTCTTTCATGACCACAATGCATTCAGTATATTTATTAAAATCAGGAAATTTGATGTTTATAAAATACTCTAGTCCACAGATCACATTCAAATTTCATTGAGTATCGTATCTCAGGAGTATCCTTGATAGCTTGTTTTTCTCCTGGACTAGAATGTAATCCAAGATTACGTATTTCACATAATTGCTATTTTTTTTTTTATGGTCTTCTTTAGTCTGGAATAATTTCTCTACTTTCTCTGTGTTACTTGTCCTTAATATTTTTGAAAAGTATAGGGCTGTTACTATGTAGAATGTCCCTCAGTTTGAGTTTGTCTAGGCTCCTCATGATTATATTCAGTTTACACAGTATTTAGGCAGGCATACCACCAAGATGATGACATGTCTTTCTCAGAAGACACATGATGTTGGTCTGACATAATACTGGTGATGTGGGGAAATACTTAGATTTTTACTCTCTAGTTTTAGCATATATTGAAAATTTTCTAATGCCATCACTATTTTTATATTCATTGCCATTCTATGGACATTTTTTGAATAAGAAAGAGCTTGCCACACATTTTTTAATTCACAGGGAGACAATCAACTCAGTGTAAAATTTATTGTTATACTTGTCGTATGACCTAGTTTTATTATTTTGCCCACCAGTAGGTCCACCAAGTAATATTCCCTGAGAAATGCAATGATCTCGAGACCATGAGTCTCCTGAAAACAGGCAAAATCCATCGAGTTATTGCCCTTTTGTAAAAATAAGAGGAAGTTTTGTGCTATCAGAAAACATCTTTGAAAACTTTGGAGAATAGACATTATGTATATTTCATAGGAGGACTCTTTCATAGCTTAATAGCCAGCCACATTTAGTGACCATCTTCTACCTGCAGCACGTTTTACCAAATGCTGCTTTATAAAGCATTATCTCTAAGCTATACCAGCACAGACTACTGGATCTCTTTGGAGAATATAGTTTATCCCATTATCTGCCTCTAAATGATTTTTATTAGTTTCCAAATGCCACTTGCACAGTTTTTAAGACTCAAAGAGCAAAACACATCTAGTAACATATATACGTTATATATGTAATTTTCTTTGTTGTGCCATAGATTATCAGAAGTCATGCTTATATACAGGTCAGATTGAAGACAATCAACGCTCATTTTGTGAAGAAAAGAGTGGCTTTTCGGACTTAGGAAATGTGTAGGTATTTATGCCTTGTTTTGCCTCCCAATGCCTTTTTAGTTGTTTGTTTTGACATCTATAGGCATACTTAATTCAGGAAGCAGCATCAAAACTGTACTAATCACCAAATGACTTAGGTTTAAAAGCCCTTAACTCAGTCTGTGTCATGGATTCTTCATCTCTAGGGTTATACGAAAGAGAACAAATTCTTAACTCTTGAGTACTAAAACTCAGGTCATTTATTAGGTTATGAGCATTATAGATAGTAGTGATGTGAAAGGTAATAAATTTTGGTAGCAGTACTGAGAACAGATACAGCTGTCCCTTGGTATCCATAGGAAATTAATTCCAGGACATCACATGCCCCCAATAACAAAATTCATAGATGCTCGCTTCCCTGATATAGAATGGCACAGTATTTGCATCTAACCTATGCACATTTTTCTGTATACTTTGAATAATATCTAGAGTACTTACAATAACTGAGTACAATATAAATGCCATATAAATAGTTATACTTTTTATTTGTATTATTTTTAGTATTATCTTGTTATTTTTTACTTACTTTTTCCAAATATTTTTAATCCTTGGTTGGTTGAATCCACGAACATGGAACCCATGGATTCAGAGGGCGACTGTAATTACTAATTGCACATAGCTATACTCTGGAAATTTCAACAATTTTCTTGATTTACTTAAGTCTTTGTTTCAGGGACTAATACACATTCTGGTGCTGTAGGAGCCTTACATAAGAGGTATTGGAGTTTTAACTCATGACCACTGTAAAAAGAAACCCTTGTATTTGTAAATGGGCTGGAAAAAAACCCATGACTTAGTTTTTAAAGGGACTTGAGGCATTTAGACAATCCTTCTAATCCATTTTCTATACTAAGATGAAAAATAGAATTCCTTTCTTCATCAGTAAGTAAAAACCAATGAGTATTGTTGAATTAGATGAGCTTTTTGCTTTCAGTTAAAAAAATACTAGATCAGTAATTGTCAAATACTTAATTAAATGTTTGTATACCTTGCAGGTTAGAGTTAGGCTAAAGATAGCCATTTGTTTTTGTCTGGAGGCTTATTTCATAATAGGGATTCATAATAGAATAATCAACTTATAGTTTTAAAATCTATTTCTCACGATATAAAAGTTAACTTTTTTTTCTGGGAGTTTATAATTACATCTTCACTTTAAAGACGTATTGTTGGTCATGTCTATGATTCATTTGAGACTGTCTTTGGTTAGGAATGAAAACCCCAAACCTCAAACATTTTCCCATGGGAAAATGCCATCTGCTTTAGAGCGATTTGCTTTATGATGTGGATTCCAAACTGCATTGTATTATTCATCTGCTTACATCTAAATACACTGAAGCTCATCCGCAAGCAGAATTCTCATGAAAGATTCTATGGAAAAGAATAGAGAAAACAAATTAGCAGCAGTCTCCAATAGTGAGAGAAAAACAGAAGAAAACAAGTAGTAGAGAAAGAAAAAAAGCATCTGAGAGCAAAGGAGAGTATAGTTAGAGAAAGAATTCAGGGGAAGGCAGGCAAGTTAATAGGTAAAAGTAGGAAAATGTTTTAGGGAATCAACTTATTTTTCATTAGACTCAATTTATGCTACTTTTTGAAAACTACCTACCCAAGAACTTTTCCACTTTAAAAATAATCTTTATTTATTCTTCATAATCATCTTTTCTTACTCACCCCACTTTGTCTTATGGCACTCTATACACATCAGTGTAGGCATATACCACAGAAAAAAGAAAGAAATGAGAAAAACGGAAAAGGAGCAAAAAACTGTGTGTGGGACTCTGTGCAAAATGTCATACTAATACGTGTATTATCTGCACGTTATAATATCACAGATACGGAGAAAGAAATTTAAACTAAAGATTGAAAAAATGCCAACTAGTTGGATTGATAAGGAATGAATCATAAAACTCATGGAGATTTATAGGGCATCACTGAGTTTTAAATTTTCGTGGTAATTTCAACATTTTACAGGCATTGGCATGTTTGAAAATAATGGCATGTTGCTAGAACCAAGATGATTTGTATGTGGAGGGTTACTATTAATAAACACACAATTTCTGTTTAAACAGAAAGTCTGCCAATAGCAAAATACTCTATTAACTAGCTGTCTCAAATATGCCCAGATGGATTGAGCACCATACATTGTCCTTTATTCTCATTAGTCTGTTTTATCTGCTTAACTAAGGACCATTGTATTTCCACTTTCTTTTTTTCTTTCTTTTTCCTGAGGATAATCCCCATCATCTCCTCCTTTGCTATAATCACATATCTCCTCTTTACACCATCACTGAAATATTATAGGATGAGAGTTTCATGAAAAGATTAGCACATGAAACATGGTACGCTGACATATTATATTCACACAATGCCTGTTTTGAGGTTTTGGACAGAAGGTTTGGTCAATGCCATATGCTCAGAATGTTCCTATTCTTGGACTATGAATGTTATCTCTGAGGGTGTAATCAGAGTCTAAACTGTGCGAGCAGGTTCCTATTACCTCTCGATCACTGTCATTATGGTGCTGTGTTTTATTTCCAGATCTGGGCATCTTTCCCTAGGCTACACAGAACATGGAAATTGTACATAATGTACACTCATCTCTTCCATTATGCCTAGCAAAGGGTTCTGGCTTATCATGGGGATTTAAAATAACAGAAAACCTCACAGGCTTATAAAATTCAGTTGTTGATCATTTTGCAATTTGTGTGTGATGATTGGGTATTTGCGCTCATGTGTGAGATGTGCTGGCCTCCAACCTTGTTACCACATTGGCACATTACCCATCTGATGTAAAAAAACAAAACAAAACAAAACAAAAACCCAACCAATCAACAAAAATCCAAACCAAACCAAACCCAACAAAACAAATCAAAAAAACTTCAGTTGTTAAATCATCTTCTCCTCTTCCCTAAAGTTATTGTGCTGGAACCTTATAGAGAAAACACGGATTGGCTTCAGTTTGGGTTGGTTTTTGAACACGGAGGTATTCTGTCCTTCACATTCTTTTGGGAAAAGTCCCAGTCACCAGTTGGGAAGAAAGTCACAAGTCTGTAAGGTCCACTACATATTGCCCACTCAGGGAGGGGCACATGGATGGACTGGGGGTTGCTGAGGCCAAAGGAATAGGATAACAACAGGCTAAGTGTTTTCTTTTCCCCATCCCCAACCACAGGCCAATAGCTTTTCATAGAGAAGTCACTTCATATCATGATGTACCAACTTTAAAGATTTTGTGACATATTTTTAAACTCCTCTGAGAATAATATACAATATATTTCTGGTGCCTTAGAGTTTACTGTGTACACTTTCACATATATTGCCTTATTTGATATTCACAAGAACCCTATGAGTGATCTCTTATTCCCCTTTGTGGGGAAGAAACAAATGTTGAGAAACTGTGATGTTCTCAAGGCTAGACAGTAAATCAACGCATTTTCATTGGCACCCATTTTGTGTCAGGCATGATGCTAGTCAGTAAGGACTGAGCCAGGATGGGAACTAAGGTTTCAGAATTCCCAGTCTCCTGGCTGGCCTGTCTTGTGGTATTTTCATTCCCTATGAGAATAGCTGATAGAACTTTGCATTTGCTTCTAGGTGCATTTTTTTTTCTCCTAGGTAAAATGTACTCTTCTTCCCTATTGAAACACATTCACAGTCAAAGCTACTTTTATTTCTGTCTGCATCATCTCACCTATTAGAATGTTAACTCCCTGAGGATGAGAGTCACTTCTGCTCTTTGTTGTTGTTATATTTTGTCATCTTACAGCTGTCAGGGTGCAGTTTTGTTCCGATAAATTGTGTAACACAAAACCCCTGTGATATATAAAGCTCCACATATATAGTTAGTCTATAGGCAACTATAAACTAAATCATGATATTTTTGAGGGGAGGTGATGAAAATTAGCTTGAACTTCTCCTTTTCCATGCATTTAGTTATTTTAAAATGATTGACATTAAGTCGTGAAATTAGGTAGAAGTAATAGAGTTATCACAATATGTAGGGGGAATATAATCCTACTCACAAAAATATAGTTAAATTATTTTAAATTATATTTAAATTATATTTAAATTATTGAATATTCAGGCTTATAGTTTGACATTGTGTGTGTCTGTATGTGTGCATAAAGGAAAAGAATATAAAGCTAATTACATCCAGAAATGGAAGAAATGGCAACTAGAGACTGGGTGGCTGCAGCATTTTTTCATCCAAAACAATCTCAATTCCAACAACATATCTTTATGAAAGAGTTTAGTTTTCTGAGTGAACTGATGCACTCACTTTTCCTTTTAATTTTTCTTTCCAAATTGCGCAGCTGAAAAGCATCGTCAGTGGAAACACCCTGTTAAGTCAGTGATTTATATATCCCTATCTGTTAGTTTTTGTCTTAAGTTTCTATTTTAACTATTATCTCTTTGAGAGGATAAACACGATATTCTAAATATAGTCCTCAAATTTTTATATATTCACACTCAGTGCAAAACATTTATGAGTTATATGTAATTAATGTACCCAAAGAGAGATTGAAAAATGTTCATGGGTTTCTTGTTGATGCTTATGCTAGTCTATGATATACTGTAAGAACCAGGAAACTGGATTCTAGAGCATCTACCAACAGAATTTGAGGTTTAAGAGGCCTAAAATGAAAGTGTGTGTGTGTGTGTGTGTGTGTGTGTGTGTGTTGAAAGGCTACAAAGGGATGGAGATGAGAAGTCATTATATAAAAGTTCATTTGTAATAATAACATTATTTAAGAAATATTGAACATAAAATTTGAATATTCCACTGCAATTAAAATGAATAAACAAACTGTATATTAAGATGGATAGATTAGGTAAAAAATAATATTGAATAAAAAATCGCCCTGGGAAACATAGCGAGACTTTGTCTCCACAAACAATGAAAAAAGTTAGCCGGGATCCTGGAGTCCCAGCTACTCAGGGAGCAGAGGCTTGAGCCTGGGAGGCTGAGGCTGCCATGAGCCGTGATTGTGCCATTGTACTTCAGCCTGGGCAGCAGAGTGAGACCGTGTTTCAAAAAAAAAAATAATCTAAGTTGCACAAAAATATTTAACAATGACAGCTTTTATGTAAAATAAAAAAATACAAAATATAATATGTGAATTAGTATATGTATATGGTATGATTATTTTTTAAAACATACGCACATTGAATTTTGGTTAATAAATTTCTATGGAGAGGTAGGGTGGAGAATGTAACTGGAGAAAGATGAATTTAATTTTAATATTTTATTTCCTTTAATGAAGAAAATATAAGAACCAAATATGGCAGACTATTAATAGTTCAATGGGTGTTGTTTGTTCCATTATTTTCTATTTCACTATATACATATTTTCCAAATTAACAAGAAAAAGTAAATTTTAGCCTTTAAAACCATTTGTATATTGAGAAAATCTAGAGTTACAGCAATTTGGAAGTTTCAGATGTATACCATAAAAAGAAGTGATTGAGCTGTTGAGCAGGTTCTATCACTCTGATTCTTAGTTTTCTCATCTGGTAAGTAGAAGATACTGTCTTTTAAACAGAAACTATATATATATCAGCAGTAACTCTCCACATATAAATCAGCTTGGTCTTCCCTCCCTCCCTCCCTCCCTCCCTCCCTCCCTCCCTCCCTCCCTTCCTTCCTTCCTTCCTTCCTTCCTTCCTTCCTTCCTTCCTTCCTTTTCTATTTTTTCATTTATTAGGGAGATAATTGTTTTACTTGTTTGTTGGCCACTCTCAATAGAAATATTTAGCATACTGGGATGTACTCTTTTCTACAAAACTTTTCTATTTCTACTTAACTACTACATTTCTTGTGTATTTGGATGCTAATTTTCCCATTAGTTTTTTTAATTGACATGTTGTAATTGTACATATATGGGGTTCCAGAGACTGGGGAAGGGAGGAAGGAGAGAAAGATGGGGAGATGTTGGTCAATGAGTGTAACATTTCCACTGGTTTTTACTCCTGAAAAGCACTCTGGAACTTGTATAATAGTTATAATTGTAACTAACTGCATTGTGACTTACCTGACCATAGAAGCATGCATTTAAAAGGAGGAGAGGGTATTGTAATCAATCTGGAGAGTGCTACAACTGTAGAAGATGTTACTAGTGGCCTATCCAATATCCATATCCCATTGTTAATGAACTAACAGAATGCTGATTTCTTGAAGGTCTGCAGTGTGTCTAGTCAAAAAGCTCACTTCCCGAGCCTCTTTTGTGGCTATTGTTGAACATGTGACTTGGTTTGAGACAATAAAAATAACTGGGGGTCATTGAACAAGTATTCTAGAAAATATTTTGAAAACAACAACCTTAATGGGCAAAATTCCTTTGCTATTTCCCCTTTCTCTTCTCTTTTCCTTTCTGAAATGCAAACCTTATGCCCATGTGACCATGTTTCTACATAGGGGAGGATCAAACATAATGGAGCACATAAATAAGTGAACCAAATGATTACAGCTTAGTGAGAAGAAGGCAGTGAGAGAGGTGTTTATAGAGTCCGATGGGAAGGGAGAAGAACATTGAAATCAAACTGTCAGTTAGGAGAGACATCTCAGGAGAGATAGTACCCCAGATATGTCACTAGGGAAAAGTAAGAGTTGGCCAGGCATAAAAGGGAAGGAACATGCCAGCTGAATACAATGTTTAAAGAAGATATAAAACAAGGCAAGCATGACTAAATTGGAGAAAGCTTACATAATTTAGGATATCTGGAATAAAACTTCATGTGGGAGAGACACGATAGATAAAGCTAGGAAGCTAAAAGGAGGAAGACCAGGAAGTATATTACTCAGTTAAATTAGTATCAGTTCAACAAGCATTTTTTAATATCTTACTATGTACCAGGTACTGCCCTGAGATGTGGATTATAAAGGCCATAAGGATTTACAGCTTTGTTCTAAATTGAGTTGGTGTGGTATTTTTTCCTCTGAAGGCTCCTCTGGATATTTCTGAGTTCAACCTGTTCCTTGAGTCATAGAAGAAGAAGAGCCTGGAGGTGGGATGGAGAGTGAGCTAAGAAGTGCCTGCGGTCCTGGGGAGCATTAATCCACATGCTAGCCCACAGAAAGCTTGCTGGCTCTTCATGATTCCTGGCTTTTCCCTGTCAGCAACTGGATGCCATTTTCTACCTGAAACCCTGATGCTTAGGGATGGAAATGAAACTAGGAATGGGAATGGGAATGGATTGGCTCCTACTTGTGTGAGGTGAGATAACAAGAATGTTGATACAATGAAAGCTCTTCTTGGTTGAAGCTCTTTTTGCTACTCCCTGTGTTACCTTATTTGGATGACTATATTTTGTTTTTATTATAGGATTGAGTCAGTGATTAACTATCACTGTCTTCCATCTTGTGTTCCAATTTACATTTTCAGAAATGTAAGTAAAATGCATTTTCATGACTGTCCATGATATTGCATTCTTTTACTTTCCACGTAAACTATCTTGACTTCCCAAGCCTCTTTGTTTCCCATCATCTGCCTCTCTAGCGTCTTCTGCAATCTCATTTGTCATTAATTGTTCCGTAAGTGAAAAATTTCTGCATCCTCAGGGATGGCATTTTCTAAGATGAAGTGTTCAGTACTTCTTAATTCTTGATCATCTCTCCTTTCTCTCCTGTCCTCTCTCATCCATTTAAGTAAAGAGTCTTGTTCTCAGTTCGCTTCTGTCATTTGACATTACTTCTACCATCAAGTATTTACATTTCTAATAGGACATTCTTCAAGAAAGAATCTTTTTCAGGACCCAAAGGAATGATGCTGTTTACAACAGTAAAGGGATAG